AATTTTATTTTAGTTTTTTTTAGTAAAGTAATACTTTATTTATTATTAAATTAAAGTATAATAGAATAATTAAAATACTATAAAAAGATAATTTAGATCATTCTTTATTTAATATAAAAAAATTATAAAGATTACTTAAAATCTGAATGATTTTTATTGGAAGTAATTATTAATTTTATATTGGTGTACCAATCTTTTTGCACCAGACCATACTTGTTATTAATAAAACTTGTTCAAAATATTCTTATTTATAAATTTTCACGAAGTTTCAATAATTCCTCGCTAAGATACATGTGAAACCAGTTCATCGTAACTTTCCGCCGGAACTGTGATTTAATATATATTCTGATTCATGTATTTCTCTAGGTATAATATATATACTATTTGGCAATATTAATTATATTTTCAATTGCTAGCTGTAATTATTTTCAAAGAGAAAAATAATGTCCAGATATCAAAATTACTATAAATTGTCAATTAACCAAATTAATATACATGTATACAAGAGGATGTTTCACGTGCATGTAATTAAAAATTGGTTCAATAAGCTGGATAAATTATTTATTAAATAAAAAATCAGATTTTAATTTACTAAACTGATATAGCGAGAGGAGGGTATTCACACGAGTCGTGAAGAAGTAAAGGATATCTCGATACCAAGTTCTCGAAATCGCACAAAAATACCACTATTCGATTCGTCTAGTTATGCGAATCAAATACATGTAATGGCATTTTTATGCGATTCTGAACATTAGGTATCGAGATATCCTTACCTCGTCGTAATACCTCGTTCGTCAGAATACCTTTCTCCCTATGAACAGATTAAGGATAAAAAGTTATTCTTTTAGAAAATCTCAAAAAAAATATTTTGAGATTGGTCAATCCAAATAATGAAATATGTATGTGCAAATAATCTTTTCACAAAATCAAATTATTTTATTAATATATTTATTTATTTTGTAACTTGAAGAAAAAATAATTGGTGAATACGTGATGAAGAAAAGGTAAATATAAGTTTTAATGATATGAAAGATATAATGTACCTAAATATTTATATTGCTAATCTATTGAACTAACAAATGAAAATAATTGAAACTAATAAATGTCAAAAGCTATTAATAATATCAATTGATGAATAATAACTTTAGTTAATTAGACGTTGATTCTTGTATGGACTATAATTCTAAATACCGATACATAATGATAACTACATTACGTAATGGTAATACCACATTCATATCGATAATACATGTGCATTTTATTTGTGTATGTTGGCGTTAACTTCGGCGGCATTTTTATGCATCATACGATACAATATATTAATATGGATTGGAGCAAAGTGTCCTTTGTTCCTACTTGATTCTAATGTATGTATTTATTAGCGTTAGAATTGTAAGACATATCCGAAATTTAATCTTTAAGAATGTCTGAAAAAAATTCAGAAAATCAGCAAAATCAACAGCAATCTCCAATTTCACCACCTCAGCAGCCAGCAAATGTTATAACAACAAATACAGATGGTATTGGTGGATTTATAATCTCTTCTTCAACTTCAACCAACAATAATCTATCTACACCTCCTTCTCCACCTTCGACAATCCCGTCTTCTCAGCTTCCATTTGTAGCAGCTCAGTCAAATTATATTAGCGAAGTAGGAAAGAATAACAATGATTTTACACCAGAGGCGACAACATTTCCATCAATGCCGTCATCATCCTCTGTGACCAATCATGAACCACCTCCCCCGTATGAAAGATACGATACTTTAAATATTCAATCTCATAGCAATCAATCAACCGAAGGACAAGTATATAATGCAGACTTAGCAGAAATTCAAAACATTCCATCTCATAGCAATCAATCAACCGAAGGACAAGTATATAATGTGGATTTAGCAGAAATCCAATCGCCAGAACCAGCAGTAACTTCAAACATCACTGGACACATTCTAACAGTTGTAGAATCAACGACACCGCCAACACAATCCCAGCAACAAAATGAACCACATACTACAGTAATTTCCGTGGAAAATGGCATTGCGCCAATACATTATAATGTAGAAGGCACATTTTATTGTGATTATTGTAATGAACGAGTGAATCCTCGTATTACACATGGACCATCTGATACTTCTTGGTGTTTCTTTCTCTTTTTCCTTTGTTTCTTTTGGCCGTTGTTTTGGTTACCGTTTGTTGTTTGCAGAGAAGAGCGTTTGAAATGTCCAATGTGTAATCGCCGTCTTCGATAATTTATCAGAGTATCGTGAAAGGGATTTAAAAATGGAAAGATGAAAAAGTATTACTAAATAGAGCAGGTTTTAAAAATTTGTCTATTGGAATGATATATGAATTAATCACGTCATGTTCGCTTTTTTATTTAAGAACTTAATATAGAGATAATAGATAATTTAATGAAAGAAATGCTACTTTTTTCATGTTCGGGTTTCAAGGTCATTGACAATACTTACACTAATTACATTTTTCTCGTTATCGAAGGTAGCTAAAATTTTGCGCCACGTTAGATGCTTCGATTCCCAAGAAATTGGTAATTGTAGTTTCGATTTTACATCATCAGTATAGCAAAATTATAAATGATGGGTTCTTCTAATAATTCATACAACGATGACGAAGACTAATAAAAATCCAAGGGACTAGTTCAAATTTACCTCGCTCATTACAAAAATGAAGCGCCTTAGAACTTAGCGTAATAATTTATATAATGAAAACTACTTGAAATTTAGATAGTTTCAGACACAACTTTCTTTATATCGGATCCTAGATTGAATGTGTAGTGGATTATTACAATCCAAAATTTCGGAACCGTCATAAAGATAATTGACTGTATCGAGTCTTTTTGACAACTTGATTGACTAAAAATTAGCAAAATGCAATTTAAAAAGTTTCTTCGTGTCTAAGAAGTTAACATTATGTCAAAACTTGGTATAAAGATGACTATAAACTTTCTTGCGATAAAATATTGTGATGTCGATATAAATGTACATGTGTTCTATTTTAGCG